TATATATATGACTCCCTTGCTCTCTGTCCGCTGGGGACCCGTAAGTTCGAGTCATGCAGTCAATTGACTTGCCAAAAGGAACTCGTGGCCTCCGGATATTCCTTTAAATACCGTAGTCCCCACCGCCGATCCCAAGCCTTCCTATCCTCAGGTATCTTGTACCGTTCAACCCGGTGAGTTCCCCTTAATAGCTCACCTTCGACTACCTTCGGTAAGTGTTCACACGGGAATAGTGGTGCTTGCGTTATAGGTTCTATTATCTTGAGAACCCGTAAAACGATAGACCGTGTGCCTTCATGTTCATAGAGCTTTGAAAGCTCAAAGCAACATATTGCAGAACCATCTGAGACGATTGTTGGTCATGTGTTGGGAGGATTGCATGACTGCGATACGTACTCGGATAAACGCGCTGATTATTCTTCCGTGGTAGCGCCCAGCTGACGAATATGAAGTCCTCCTTGTCGTTGGAAGTATCGATAACATACATGGCGCTCTTCGATCCAAACTTCATGTAAAAAGGTTGTCCAAAAGCATACAGAATACGCGGAGGGTTCCTTCGGGGTAGGCTTGCCACTCTCCTGCAGAGTGATAGCGTATCCTCGGAAACGAGGTTGTCGCGTGATAGGGAATGTTGTAGCATGTCAAAGCCATCGTTCCATCTTGAGATACTCGCCAGCGATTTCGACCACGGAACACCGTTCCTCTGCAGGTCTGTCCCTGAGGAAAAACTGGCTGGATCCGGCGAGGAAGTTATTCGGAATCTGAGCTGACCTGCCAGTCGAGGAGCCCAGTCCGGGGAACAGTAATAGAAGAAGCCATGAGTGCCTTCGGGGTATCTTCGCTTACTTTCCGTACGTGTGAAACCATACTGAAGGTTAACAGGCTTAAACGCCGCCGCATCAGAAAGGTGTATCTTTGCCTGGAAGCGGCCGGAGAGGTCTACATGGCATTCATGCGTCAAATGATTGGGATGAAAAGTGGACACTGCGTGATACTTGAGGTACATCCCCATAAGCCCAGATAATATCTATACCCAGTTCGTACGTACATTCCGTGCGTTGCATCTTTGCTGCGCTAAGATTTGAGATGATCGTCTTGCGCACAAGGGATCCAGGCTTCGAATAAGTTTTGGGTATACATGCATTATTATATCTGTCACCTTCGAATCTAGAATTAATTACACAATTTGGAGGAGAGGTAAACTTCGCACTGTACCTCTGAGTCCGAGAGACTGAACCGTTCTCCTGGAACCACTTTCGTCGGCAACGCGGAATATCTGCCAGGGACTGTCCCTGGCTGGTCTTAGATGAGAGTCAAAGATGATGACGGGAGGGAAGGGACACGAACCAACCAATCCAAATTGTAAGCGTCATATAACAACACATTTTTAAGGTATTTAAGCCCGCCTAGCTCAATCGGATAGAGCGTCAGACTTTTACGATTAGGCGGTTGTCTTGTGAACATCTGAAGGCTGCGAGTTCGACCCTCGCGGTGGGCTAGTTACATGTATTTTTGCCGCAATGCTCATTAAATTTATGTTATATATGTATTATGTAACTCTTATATTATCAGATAATCATATACCCCAAAAGGATATTTATCTCCGTCCTACGTCACTCGCGGTTCGTTCCGTCTTGCCCGCATTTACAGCGCAGGCTCTCATTTCGTTCTCCCCCTACTTTGTATAATTCGTGCGGCATAGAGACAGCAATGGCTTCCCGTTTTTCACGAACACTTTTTGCACGGGTCGCCAGACCTACACTGAGGGCCTCACGAGGGAATATGGGGAAACGGATGATGAGTGAGGTTCACGGTGCACACTCACCCAAAGCCAGCAGCGACCTGCCATGGATTGTAAGTCGCCCTTCGATGTTGGCAACCAGCATACATGCGCAAACTCATGTTTTACATCATTCTAGATTGGTTCTGCTCTCGTCTTTGGACCCGCAGTATGTTTACGCAACCCTTGTGAAATTGACCGTTGGCGTACTAATGTACACTAACCGTTCGACCCCAGGCGTTGTACCTGCTCACCCCTTCTTCGGATAAAAAAGCTCACGAAACAGCGGAACACGCTTTGCCCAAGAAAAAAGAGTCGTCGTCAGAGTCGGCTCCGTCCCCCGACGCGGCGGATTTGCCCACAAAAGATGACGAGGGTGACGAGGTTCCGGCTTCAGAAGTCGAGGCATCAGCGCGTCGTGCATTCGTGAGTATGTTCTAGGGTGTGATTAAGTGCCGCTGAACAAAACAATACTAGAATGAGGATTCACCGAAGGATGCACAGGAACACGAATCGGTACGACCTTGATAATCACACGACGAATTCAGAGTACTTACGTCCATTCACAGGGTGCTGTCGTCAAGGACGACTCTGAAGCGGCTGAAGAGCCTGTATGTACTATTCATATGACGGATGTGTGACTTAGCTAACCAATACGCAGAAGGGCGAAGATGAAGCGGCTGGAGAGTCCGTATGTACTGTTCGCATGACGAGCGTGTGACCCCGCTAACTGACGAACAGAAGAGCGAAGCTGACACCGAGAAGTCCACAGAGGAGCGTCCTTCAGACCAAGGTGCCGCCAGGGTGCAATCTGTGGTAAGAAAGCGAATGATATCATGCGCTCGTTCTCTTAATTGACTGGTCTTTCTTTCTGCAGTCGGGCAAGGATCCAAAGGATGCTGCCAAGGAAGATGGTAAGAAGGATGAGTGAACTTTACCCTCGTAGCACTAGAGTACAATGGTTGATTTCGCCAATGGATAATTTTGCTTCGTTCCCAATGTGTGAAAAGAACAATTGTCTAGAGCCTCCTTCGCTGCCGGCGCCTGAACGCTTGTATGGTCTCTTCAAACCTTACCTCCTCCCTTTCCGCAGTCGCTCCCTCGTTGTGTATATGTTACCTGCCTCACATTAACTGACGATCTACATTCATTTTGCCATGTCTTCGCCACCAAGTCCACGCTCGGCGACCAGCTCAGACTCGTTCGGTTCCGGCCGCCGCTCGCCCATCCACGGTTTCGACTCCTCCGCAGCGTTGATCCTCGTTCCAGAGACGGAAGAGCACGAAGAACAGTACGGAGACTTCGCGGAACATGACACGACGCCGTTTGACTTCTCCAGCGACGACGAGGAAAGGGAGGACGAGGAGCAGTTAGACGAGCCCCGTTCGTCCACTGTCCCGCCCCTCTCTTCTATCTCCGTATTCTTGTACCTCCTTTCGCCCCTCCTCAAGCTCGGTGCTCTCCTTTCCATCGACGAGGCTGCGGAGCTACCATTAAACTGGGCGTTACCTGCACTGTTCTTCTTCGCGGGCTTGTGTGCGTTCACGAGGCAGATATGGTACATGTTGGCGAAGTACGTTCGACGAGCGGACACGGAGGAGGTTTTACTTGAGACGTTTACAAGAGGACGAGGAAGGGAGAGAAGAAGGCAGAATATCAGATCTGCCGTGCGTCTCATAACAGGCCTGCTGCGTGTTTCCCTCGGGGCTGTATATCTACGAGGTACGTATATGTATTTCATCTTATATCTTCATCGCTATATCTTATCTGCTTATTAGCCTCCGCGGACGCCGTTCTTCCACTTGTACCTGAGAGATTACTTCTACCCTCACGAATCACCGTCTCAGCCATCCTTGCGCTCGGCATATCACCATTATGCTTCGCCTCGTCACTCGATGCCAGCACTGTACTTTATGCAACATGGACTTCTGTAGCATCATATACGGCCTGGGTTGCCTGTACAGCATACGCTCACGGACAAGGCATACTCGACATTAGCACTCGCGACGAATCACTTGGGACCCTCTGGCAGGGACTTAGTGCGTTTAATCGGTTTATTCAGCCTAGACGTGCATCTTATATCTATCTACAGGTATCATCGCATTCACCTTCACAACCTCCTCAACTTTACCCCTGTATGCCGCCTTGAAAGGTACACGTGAACCCGGTGTCAAGTACAAGCGTTCCAAATCCTTCAAACTCCTTTCAGCACTGGCCATCATCATCGCAACCCTACTCATCCTGCCGCCAACCATATTCCGCACTATGACAACCGCACCAGTAGGTCCTATTTCTTTTTCAAATTCTTATGTCTGGAACCCAACCACGCAGTCTCGGTCGCAGGAAACACAGTCACCTACCCTTGCCTTCAAATCGTTGATGGCGTTCCTCAGCGCGGCGACGCTTGTCTTGAGCATTCCGTCTCTTCTTGTCACAACTCCCCCGTTTCGTATACCCGTCGCAATTCGCAGGAACACAAACTTGCCCATCTCAAGGATACTCCTGTTCTTCACTATCCTCATCATTTCACTCCTTCCCTCTCCTGTGTTCCGTATCACCAGTGACGCCGTCCTCGTCCTCGCGTTCTTCAGCACGTATGCTGTCCCAGGTACACGTCTTGTCTTCAAGATTTTGACTCCTTAACTCACAGTCCATACTTATTGTAGCGTTCATACACATCATCATTCACAATTTCCGCCGACCGCTTTCAATTGTTATACCCCCAGCAACTCCAAGTTACCCTTCTATGCACCGCAGTGACTCATACAACGATGAGCTTTTGCAGCGTAAGGAGAGGACACTACAAAGGCGAAGGTTGGCGCGAAGGATCATGTGGGATATTGGCGTTTGGGTATTGTTGTTGCCCGTAGGAGGTGGAGGGCTGGTATGGGCAGCAGGACGGGTTTCCCGGCAATGGTGATCCTTGTGTCTTCAGTCCAAATTTGTTGGTATTTTGTATGATCTATCTTGTCAGACGTTTCTTGTTACTACCACCAGAACCGCCGATCACCCTATGAGAAATGGGAAGGGAGATATTGGCAATCATACATGGATGTGGCTGCCTAGATAATACTGCCCAGAACAATGCCAGATGGGTGGGAAGGATCCGCGAGCCTCGAGACTTTGGAGACTATATTTCTGGTGTCAAGGTCCGAGGCGAGTTTTTTGGATTTGTAGAACGATGATTGGTAGCCATCCCTGTTGTTTTGTACTCCTCTTGTTAGTAATTGGAAAGGGACAATGAATCTCAGCAGTGATATTTATCTGAGATTATTCCTACCAGTACCGTTTCAAGCTTACTAGTTACAGATTTCGAACTTGTACTAAGGTTTGCACCAGCGTCTGCCAATTGGTGAAGGAAACATAATTTAGGCGCCCTTCGATTCAGAGTTGAACTCACGACTAGTCACGACTTTGCACACTTTGCGGTGAGCCTAGTCGACTGCCAGGAAGCTGGTCTAGTCATTTATCGGTGGCATGAGTGTTCTATCGATATACTAGCAGAGGATCCAGCATTCTCAAACCCCTTAAATGCGAACTCCCAAAGACCTTCGAATTCATAAATGTTCTCAAAGCCATTTATTCTAGGCGATTGACACACCTGCTCAGGACTATCGTGGCATAGTCACCCTCTCATGTATCAGCCTTTGGTATCTGCGCAGCCGTGCGGGGCATCAGCTACAAGCAGCGCCGTTTACTGTGCGAAAATGTTCGAAGTGAGTCGTGTTAGCCTTCCTTGGACATTCAAGGGTGGACCCACAATGACTCTAGCAGTGATCACGGGCTGATGCGCATGTTTCCTATGCGCAACCACGAGGATACACCGGAAGACCTTATCTGTTCGTTGATCAGGGACGACCTACTTCTTCACCTTGAATCTGGTACTGGTGGGGCCTGCTCAAGTGTCCATGGAGGGTATACATCTGGAACACAATCAGGAGTTTCAGGACTGTGTCCTTGTTGCCGATTGGACGGTGATCCCTGCCTCGCAAGTGACCCAGCAACGACCCTTTCCTCATACGGCGCAGGCAACTTTAGTCCTTCCTGTCTCATCAGAGCTGCTCTATTTCCTGTCTCGCGGACCGCTTTCTAGAGGATCCATCTCGTTTGTAGTCGGCGAGGAGTCCTCCGATGTCGTCGATGTGCGCGTTGAGGTATCGTATACTTCGCCCGATGTCTTGCATCTCATGAAAGTTTGCTTGCTGCAACGCGATGAAGTGAATAACGGCGTAGGGATATATGTGAGTTTGCACCCAGTCGTTCTATCTGGGGGCACTCGACGGTTGTAACGGTGTAATCTTTCCTAGACATCGCCAGAGCTAGAGAACTCTGCATCCGGATCGGGCGCCGTTTTCTCCATACAGGTCAAATTCCCCGCGCCCTCCTCAAGCAATGCTCCAACGCAAGTTGAAGGACTTGTCGCGATCATGCCGCTCTTCGGCTTCGATATAGCGGACATTGCACCCAGGGTCAACTTCCGCTCTTGCTCTCTGCAAACTTCTAATAACAAAGTTGAAGCAAAGGTACAATGATTCTACCACTTTCTTGATATGATTGGTACTGAAAATGTTTGAGTAGTCGTTGTATGCCGATAGTGGTGAAATCACGACGTCAAATGGACCGATTGAAGGCACATTTATAGGTTCGGACTCCCTGGAATTGCTCACGTCGAATGGAGCCATCAACGTCAATATCAGGCTGGCTAATGCCGATGCAGA